ACGGAACGGCGAGGCCTCGTGCAAGTAGCGCCTCAAGGTGCCGTGCGCATGGGGCTAAACTCAATACGTTTCGATTGCCATCGGTTGTTGTGGGCAACGTCGGGAGGCGACATCGCTCGTGGCGGCTGATGGCTTTTAGCAACGAAACGGCAAGGCCTCGTGCAAGTAGTGCCGCAAGGTGCCGTGCACATGGGGCTAAGCTAAGTACGTGCCGATTGCCATCGGTTGTTGTGAGTTGTGTCTGGCATCGCTCGTGGCGGCTGATGGCTTTTGGCAACGGAACGGCGAGGCCTCGTGCAAGTAGCGCCGCAAGGTGCCNGAAAATAATTAAGACATGCTATCATCTAGACAGCAGATCAACCTGATATTTGTAATACTGCTTAAGATTTTGTACTCAAAGAAAATATAAAAAACATACACATACAAACAGTGTTTTAGTATGAGGAGTAATAGTCTGAACTCGGGGTCGTTTGGTAGGGTGTATAAGAATAGTGTTGAATAAGGTGTATTAGTGATGCAAAGATTAGTAATACATGGGTTAGTAATGCAAAAATTATTTCTAATCTACTGTTTGGTGTGGTGTACTAAAAATTACAATGCATTGCATAATTTTTAAGAAAATTAGTTATTTACAAAAATGCTCTCCATATTCTTTAGCTTTAAGGAACTTTAAGGATAAATTTATCTTCATCCATGATAATGCATGCATTAATAGTCTTGGTATTGCTAATATTATGGTTTGCTTTGTATTAATTAGTTATATATAGGATAATTCAAATAGGTTGTATAACTAATACTTGCATTAATAATATATAAGTTGAAAAAGTGTACGAAACGAGGGATTAGTCATACTAAAAGCTAATGCATGCATTATAGCAAACGACCCCAAATCTCATGCAGAGGTATAAATAGTGGATAGCATGCTATACATGCCTATGAACCTAAAATGATTAGAAACTCCGAAATGCCAAACCTTATTGTTGTACTTTATGTAGTCTCTATTTTCATATGCCTTTCTGTATCTCTATTAATACTTTTTTCTGGATAATATTCACTTCTATTATCCTTAAGATCACAAGCAAATGGAGTGTAAGAAACAAGAAAATTAATAAGCCATTGCCTCCAGGTCCAAAACCATGGCCAATAATTGGCAGCCTTCCTCAAATGCTCCTAAATAGCAAGCCAACATTTCATTGGATACACAAACTTATGGAGGAAATGGACATTGAAATCGCTTGCATTCGTCTTGGTAATGTCCTTGTCATTCCTGTAACTTCTCCTGAGCTTGCTTGCGAGTTCTTAAAGAATCAAGACTCTGTTTTCTCATCGAGGCCTATTTGCATGTCCGCGAACCTCGTTATCAATGGATACTTGACTTCAGTGTTTCTCCCCATATGTGATCAATGGACGAAAATGAGAAGAATCGTTGCTTCTCTTGTGCTCTCACCAACATCTCTTCAATGGCTTAGTCATAAAAGGAATGAAGACGCTGACCACCTTCTTCGATATGTTTACAATGAATGCAGCAACCAACCGTAATTAACTTGAGGAAAGTGACAAGATATTATTGTGGGAATGTTATTTGGAATATGATTTTCAGCAAGAGATTATTTGGAAAAGAAGCCGAGGAGCAAGTTGGTGCACTCTTCACACTTCTTGAATACCTCCATTCTTTTGGTATCTCAGATTTCTTGCCGTTGTTAAGTGTGTTTGATTTGGATGGTCACAAGGAAATTATCAAGAAAGCCTTTGCCACAGCAACAAGACACATTGATAGTGAAATTGATCGGAGGATTCAGATTTGGAAGGATGACAACAAAACTGTGGAAGAAGACATCCTTGATGTTCTTATAAAGCTCAAGCATGCAAATGGGAATCCGTTGATGAATGCTAAAGAGATTAAAACACAAGTCCTTGTAAGTATACTTTCAATCCCCTAAACCATGTGCTTGACATTGTTGAATTGTGTGACCACTCTTTTAACTAAAATGACATATTTATTTAAAATGGCCATTGTTTTCTTCCTTAATATCACATTGCAATGAATGGTAAAATATTTACTTGGATTACATAGATGGCTTTTCTGATTTGATGTTTTAACTTCAATACCACACAAGAAGGAGTGATTTGTGTGGTGTCCAATTTTTTGCGTGCACAGATTATAGAAGGACATGGTTCTTCTATATGTTCCTTATACCACTGTTGCGGAATAATAAATGCAGAAATTAAAGAACACAAGGATTTTTACGTGAAAAACACCTGGCTCAAAAGGTGAAAAAATCACGACATACTTCCCAGTAGGATTTTTCCAAAACTCTTCAGTAAATCACTGAGCCAAAAACTGCATTTACAAAACACTTTTGTAAACCTAGGATTAACTCAAATCCCGTTGTGGCACACAACCTCTAACTGTTGCGACAACTTCAAGTTAATTCTAACTTGAATACTCTGAGTACCTATTACAATTGCCTCTTTGATAAAGCTAAAAGGTACACTATGAAAACACCTACCACAATTGAACTAGAATAAAAGACAGACACTTGGAACTGGTTCTTCTATCTGGTTCATGTAGTTTCAGGTTCGCACACTTGAATCACACATGAACTGCTTGCAAAATGCATTGCTATTTTGCTCTCAATTAACGTTTAACTTCTGCTTTTGTGCGTTCCCTATAGAATGAGAACATCCTGTGATTTATAGAGTTAGTATAGTAGAATAATAACTAGAGTTCCAACGCTACTCTTCCTTGGTGGAAGAGTTCAAGTTGATCTCAACCTCTAACTCCTCCCATATCTTGGATAGTGTTCTCTTTGATTAAGGAGTCATTCTCTTTATCAATTATGCAACCCTCTTTGATCAGGAGATATTAATTAGACCAAGTTAAGCTTATCTCCTTCACGTGCATCCCACATGCCAGAATTTGCCTGTGTCCATGCACACAAGGGATGGACCTGGTTCATGCCTGAGCATCCTTTGTGAATCTTCAAAACTAACCTTCACTTAGGCCAACAAATTCCCCCTTTTTAATGATGACAAACTCTGTGCTTTTCATAAGCTTAGGCCCAGTTTCAACTTAGCTCAACATCAACACAATGTTAGAAACATTTTTTCTTTTTATCACTTATCATAAAGGACCAGGTTCATTAGGTTATAAATATTTATTTCTTTTTATCACTTATCATCAAGGACGAGGTTCATTAGGTTATAAACATCATTGTTCTAAGTGTAACGCACAACCTTTTTCCCCCTTTTGGCATCATCGAAAAGTTGCATAAAAAATATGTGATTCCCAGATTTTAAAACTTACTCATGGCCACTAGGGTTACTTTAAATACATTCATGGATTAATCATCAATATTGAAGCTAAGAATTTAAACTATCAGAGAAATATAAACAGACAATTAGAGCAAAAACCAGCAAATTTCATTGATAGTTGATATGATTCTTCCACAAAACACAAAAAGAAATAAAAATACTGAAAACACGAGCAACCAAGAAACATCCCAAACTGGGTCACTGAAAGGTCTACAATGGGCTAGGAGTTTAAGGCTTGGAAGAACTAGGGGGTTGGTTTTTGTCATGAAGAAGTTTCAGCATGTCTTGAAGAATTCCATCATTCTTCTCCTTTTCCCTTGCTAGTTCAGTTCTGAGAGCATCTATCTCAGACTCTACCTCAGCCAACCATGTCTTCAGCCTTGCAATTTCGGCCTCATTTGTCCCACTCTCCTGCACCAAGGCTCTGACCTTGCTATTGACTGGTGCCTTTTTGGATGAACCGGGTTCATTTGGAGTGGCATGGACCTCATAATCACAAGCAATCAGAGTGTTAGCCCCAAAGTGATATTTGTTTGTAACCATCTCCCACTTCTTCAAGGGCATCTTATAATGTGCAAGCACAACTGTGAGAATGAAGACATAGGGAATGCCCTGAGCCTTGGAGCCATTGATAATCCTATCAAGAAGTTGGATTATAAATCCAGGCCAGTTAATGTGCCTCTCACTATCCAAGCATTCCATCAAAAATAAGTCCATGAAGTTGGCAATGTGCCTCCTTTCCTGCCTAGGCAGAACACACTTGTTGATGAAATTTGAACCCCTTTCACCAGGCTAGTAACCCTTCCATCCTTCACTTCAGCATTTGCCATGAACTCAATAATATCACCCCTTGCCAACCTGCCATCCATCTGAAGGACCATGTCCTTCCATCCTTGCACTTCTAATTTCTCCACCAGCAGCACCATCCCTTCCTCCTCCAAATCCCTGAGGAGTCTACCCTTCAGATTTGTTCTTTTGCCAAACATGGTCATCTTCTCCTTTTCACTGTATGATTCATCTTTCTCTTCTCCACTCCATTCCTCTTCTTCAGCAATTTTTACTTGTTTGGTTTTTACTGCAAACCTGGTCCTTTTTGCCAGAGTGGATGGTTCCACAGACTTTGACATAGAAGTAGACTTCTTAGTGGAAGCCCTGGCTTTCTTGGGCTTGGGAGTCTGAACCTCCACTTCTGCAATCACATCTTCATTTTGATGGACCAGGTCCATCTCATCAACATCATCAGCCTTACCAGGCTCACCTACCTTATTCTTCCTTTTATCCACCCTTTTATTTTTTTTTCTTCTAAGTCTCTTTGCAATGCCGCCTCATTCTCCTTTAGATGACTTCTTGTGGCTCTTCCTCGTGAGGGAAGACTTTCAACAGTGTAAGAAGGGTCAACCTTCCTTTTTTGTTAGCCCTAGTAGTGCCGGGGGTCTTATACTTTCTTCAATAGTTCTGCGAGGGTTTCTTCAACTGATGAACCAGGTTCATCTATATTTTGCCCAAGTTTAACCAGCCCTTCAGCAGCTTCTCTAGACACACTTCCCCCTGTTTTCTTGACACTTTCCTCCACATTATCTTCTCCACAAATAGCCAACCACTCTTTTACCCATTCCCTTTTCTTCACTACGAGCACCCTTACTCTCCTTTTATTTTTCCTTTTTATTTTTACTCCCTCTCCTTCTGGACTCAGAAGTTTCTACATCCACTACAGATCAAACCAAAATAAACCTATTCTCCAGATTTTCAGACAACTTAGAAATGACCTCAGTAGTAGTATTTGGGCTAGAGGTTACATGTTCAGTATCAGAAGACCTAGTTTCTTCCCCCGCAGTCGTAGACTTGAAAGAGTCATCAGAGTTCTGGGGTTCTTGGTCTTGGCTAGCTTTTAGTTATGCATTTAATTTCTTTGATAACGCACTTCCATCCATAGTCTTGCGAGCAAGAACTTTTACTCTTCATTTCTTAGGCTGAGGGGTGGTTGAAGATGATGGGCATGGTGGGGGTGTACCAGGGTTATCATAAGGGTTAGTAATTTTGTGCTTGGTTCTGGAAGAAGAAAGAGAGGTAGATTGAAATTTGCAGAATGATAGAAGATGGAAAGAATTTTTGACGGTTTGCGAATTATGAAGAGAAGGCAAAGAAGATGATGATCAATTTAAAGGAATGGGGGTAATTAATGGGTAGTGGGAGGCTCATTAGAACCAGTGGGGTAATTGGAAGTCTAATCAAACTAAAATGTCAGTTTTGAATAGACGGTGGAGTCTTCCCTAGAATTTAGGTGTTTTAATTTGCTTAGGATTCTATTGAACTGAACTGGTTCAATTTAATTGGATAAGTTTAAGAGAAATTTGGACTTAGGTAGAACTCTGATCATGATTCAAATATTATTATTTCAAATTTTGTAGAGTGTAGAAAACATACCGCGTTATCTAGATGAACCAGCATTGATTGATGAGCCAGGTTCTTCACTGAAAATCCTCTTGTGCGTGTCTAAATTTTCCAAAATAGAGAAAATATCATTATAGATTAATGAATCATTTTAACACATAGCACAAGAGTATACTATTTACAGCATGAGACTGAGCAAAACTTAATCTAGTTATTTACACAATTTCAAGATTTTCTAACCATTTTTTTCATCCTGTTAGGTGATCTTAATCATCCCGAATTCTAACATGTTTCTTTCAAAGTGATCTCTACTTGGGGCTTTTGTAAAGATGTCAACTATTTGCTTGTCAGTAGCACAAAATTCCATAGTGATCAACCTCTTTTCATAGTTATCCCTCAAAAAGTGATGCCTAACATCTATGTGCTTAGTTCTCTTATGATGAACCGGGGTTCTTGGTCATACTAATTGTTGCACTAGTGTTATCACAAAAAATAGGAATACAACCAACATCAATTTCAAAGTCCATTAATTATTGTTTGATCCATATCAATTGAGCACAACATGAGGCAGTAATAACATACTCAGCTTTAGTAGTACATAAGGCCACTGAATTTTGCTTTTTGGTAGCCCAAGACACAAGACATGAGCCAAGAAAGTGTGCCATACTTGAGGTGCTCTTTCTATCCACAAGAAAACTTGCATAATCAGTATCAGCATATCCCACAAGATTGAAATTACTACGTTTTGGATACCAAAGACAAAGATCAGTGGTGCCTTTTAGATATCTCAAAATGCTCTTGATAGCAGTCAATTGAGATTCCTTCGAATTTTCCTGAAATCTTGCATAAAGGCCTACATTGAAAACAATGTCAGGTCTACTAGCAGTGAGATACAACAATGACCCAATCATTCCCCTATAATACTTCTGATCAAGAGATGAACCAGGTTCATCTATATCCAACTTTGTAGCTGTTGCAATAGGAGTGTCAATTTCTTTGGAGTCTTCCATTTTAAACGTTTTAAGCAACTCTTTTACATACTTCTGCTGATGGATCATAGTTCCATTTGAATTTTGTTTAATTTGTAAGTCTAAAAAGAAATTAAGCTCACCCATCATGCTTATTTCAAATTCACTCCCTATTAGTTTAGCAAATTCTTTACTTAACTTATCAGTAGTTGCTCCAAAGATTATATCATCAACATATATCT